AGCCTTACCCTTGTTCTTTCCTTCATTACTTTCCTTCCAAGTTTCAATCATCTTCTTATTTCTTGGCAGCAGTCTCCCTTTGAATTGATGACTGAGCCAAGGTAGTCAAAATCTTTCATAATTTCAGTTTCTTCGTTGCTGAACTTAAAGTTTATGCGGGGGGGGGGTTGTAGTCATGATTTTTGTTATCTTAATGTTCAGCTGTAGTCCTTTTTAGCATTGTTAATTTCACTGTCATCAGGAATTCTTTCTGTTCATTGCTGCTTTCTGCCAGTAATATGGCATTCTCTGTGCATCTTAAATTATTGCACTGTCTTCTACCAGTGTTCGCTCCTTCTCTCTCTGATTCTAATCCAGCTTTCCCTATGATACAGATTGTCCAGACAGGGTGCTAAAATCCACTCTTGTTGGACACCTTTGCATGTAGGAAAGCACTTTTGCATGTAGAAAAAGTCACTCTTGTATGTCTTCAGAAATAGAGTTGACTTTAACTTGTTTTTTTGTTTAAGTACACTACAGTACACCTGGACTTTACACCTGTTTAATTACACTACAGTACATTGTGACTATCTTTGCATATGTTGTTTAGAAACCTTTAAGCATATATAACATGTTATGGGTAGGATCTTATGCTTGTTTAGTCAAAAAAAAAGTCTGCAGCTCCCAGCATGCCCTAGTTGCCTGGGGAATTCTGGGAGCTACAGGGCTTTTTTTCTGTCTTAACAAGCATAGTGTTGTGCCTAAGGCAGAAATCTCGTAACTGTTACCTGGGAGTAAACCATAGTAAATCCAATGGGAGTAACCTCTGAGTTGACATGTAAGCATTGTGCTTTGAAAGAGCAACAATAACAAACAAATGGATACAATTAAAGTTGTTGGGTTTTTTTTAAAAAAATTAGAAGTTCTGTGTGCCCTAAATGATCTTAGGCATTAAAAGAGTCTGAACCTGTTTGCAAGACCTTTGAATGAACCCCATTCATTTGGTGTGTTTGGAAATGGTCATTCAGCCACAAAACAGACACAATAGTTACAACCTAATTCCCTTGGCACCAACAGCAGCCTATTAAAAGGGAAGAGTTTGTTATGAAAAATGTGCTGTAGTTATATAATTCTGCATTCTTTCAGTATCTCCATGGTGTAATTATGTAAACACATTGTTTCCTGATTTGTTTGTTGTGTTTTGGTTCTGGATACTTTCTAGATAACATCAATATTGGACTTTCTGTAGCATATATAATGAATATAAATATAATATGCGGCTTTTAATATGGAATGGACCTTTTCAGCATTGAATCTATCAACTTGTTTGCTTTCTTTTCATATGCATTATATGCAACTAATTATACAAAAGTACACTGTAAAAATAGAGAATGTAATAAATTATTATTAAGGCCCAAATTTCTTGTACAAATATGCATTTGTTTAGAATGGGACATACCAATAGGTGCTTGAATACTTGAACAATGTTTGGATAGTGATACAGAAGACTTGCTATCAGAGATAATGAATGTTGGGCTCCCTAGGTAGGAAGCCACTCTGATCCAGTGGCAGAACTCTTGCGATTGCAAAACTTTTTTTGGTAATTTCAGTGTTGAGGGCCGATACATGTTGGCAAATTTGGGTGGTGTGATTCCTTCATGCATCGGAACATAGAAGTGGATAGTCTGGTCAAGTAATACTGGAGTGAGGTTTGGAGCGGCATTGCCAGTTTTGAATTAGAGCTCAATCTTGCTTCCAACTCTTGGGGCAAATTATAAATCAGATGCCTAGAGATTATATGGAAATAGTGATGTCCATGTTAATTGCATTGTGAAATTTACTGGTAAAATTCTGGCAAACACATTATATAGCATCCTTTGATTGATGGAAAAAGGAGCTAATGAACCATGGTGCTTTTGAATAAAATTGCTAGTAATAATTTTATTATAGGAATGTTAGGAATTTATTTATTTATTTAAAGCTTTTATAGACCATCCCATTACTAGCATCTTGGGACGGTTTACAAGAAGGCATTGGAAGGAAAAGGAATGCATAGCAGGGCAACTGAAAACTGTCTTTACCATTGCAGGGTCAATGACCTGTACAGGAGATGCTACTTGCTGTCCTCCAGATATTTTGGACTATAACTCCTATTAGTTCCAGCCAGCTTAGTGTTCAAGGAATATGGAAATTGGAGTCCAAACATCAGGCAGGTAAAGGTAGTCACCAAGTTATGAAAATTTAAGTTAAAGAACAAACTTATAAACAAACTGCCATAAAGCCTATTTTTTTAAGCTGCAGAAAATCATCCTCACCATAGAGAGAGAAAGCAGAAAGGGAGCGAGGAAGGTCCTCCAAAGCACCACCATAGAGAGAGAGGAAGTGAAATGGGAGAGAGAGAAGCCTCCAGAGCATGCCTTCCTGCTCTGCCCATCTGGAGAGGGAAATATCTCTGGCATTTCTGTGCTGCAAAGTGGGTTGGGAGGGGGGCATCTAGAGATATTTGCAGTTATTCCACTTTCATGGTGGGGGCGGGCTTTGCCCCTAACTCCTGTGAATGTGGAGGACTGACTGTACACAATCCAACTTACTTACAAATTCGACTTAAAGAAGAATTTCCATTTTCTCAGCAGCAGAACTCGTTTGTAACCCCTGAACAGCCTCTATTGGGTTGCTTACTTCCTGAGCTTGTATCTTGCACCTTTCATTATTTTTGCAAAGAAAAATACATAGATCTCAAGATGGTGAAGTCTGCATACTTTACCAATCTCTGTGTTTGCATATGATTTCATAATATACCAAGTCTTTTTGCAGGAAGAACAATATGGAATAAGGGAAGAGGTAATGTGGATTCAATATGTAACAGTAATTGCTTATATATATTTATCAGAACTCAACTTGAAATCTAGAAATGGAGCAAGGATTAGAAGCTGTTTCTGAACTAGCTATACCTAGCTATGTAGTATAATGTGGGAGAGATACAAGCTACTTTTTATCAGTTTGGAAAAATGGACTTTTAATAATGATGTTAGATATATCAAATAGAAAAAATATATAATGTTTACTTGAAAACTTCCTTTACTCTTCCTGTCATCTGGACTCCTTTCCCCCCAAATTTCTCTCATTTTATGTGTTGTTATATAACATATAAATAATGCACATTTTTGCAAAAACATAGTTTTTAATATAAAACTTTAAAATTTTGACTAAACAATTTTATAACACAAAATCTATGAGCATTTCCCCATTGCTCCTTAGATCATTGTTACTGACCTAAAAAATAACACACATTAAAAAATTAAACCATGTTTGAGAATGAGTAGATTATACAGAGAGATAAGATCTTTGAATGTAAAATTACTGGATTTTTCTTGTACCTTTTCTTGTTATGCATCTGAAAATACTCTAAATGAACATCATTAAGGTCTGGTTCATGCAGGACAAAATATCTGTGTGATCATGTATGTGGTATATGATTACAAGAAAGAAGGAAGTAACGCAGAGTGAATCAACTGGCAAAAGCAGGATTATGACCATCGATTCACAGTGCGCTGAGCATCCACCAAAGATTGCAAAAGCATGCAGAGAGTGTGATGTTTTTCTAACTCTTCTTCCTAAGGTAAAACCTGATTCCACAGAGAAAGTCAGAATTTTGTACCTCATTTTTAACCCATTCAAACAGCTAGAAATTCACCAAACAGGGCTCAATATAATAAATAGGAGAACTTGAAAAATTAAAGTATAGCTGAAAGAGGAGCAGGCACTTCCTTAAGAGCTGAGTCATTTTGCTGGTAGAAAAATGGACGGTTGGCAGGAAAAAACAGCTACAAGGAATGCATATTCCACAGCCCTCTACTCAGAGGGGCACACTTTTTTATCTTCTAGTCCTCCTGCTAATTGTTTTCCTGGCTAAACCACTTCCTCTCTTGTGGACATACATATACATAATCCACTTGATTTGAAAGTCCAGTGAGTGCCAGGTATGTATACACACATTTACCAACTTTACCAACACATATCTCATGTATTTGCAATATTAACATGTATCTGCAGTTTCATTCCCTTATTCAGAATCCAGATGATGCTGAATTTGTGAGCAGTGATTTCAAATTATTATGTATTTCACAATATTTTTTATATTTTTAAAGGGCAAATTTGGGTTGCAGAAGAGAGGCTAAAAAAGCTCAGTGCTTTTCACTTCCTTCTTTTCCTTTTCTTGCTAATTCAGATCTTTGAAATGTTAAATTAATGAAAGTTGTGTAACTTTCACAAGTGAGTCATATATTGTGCTTGTATTCAACCGATTACAGGACCCAGGTTTTCATATGCAGAATAAAACCTTAAATACAGGATGTACATTGGATGTTTACTACTTTAAACCATTATGGATGCTCAGGAAATGCAGCTCTACACATGTCTGGAAACTACTTCACCATCTTCAGGGAATAAACCATGTAGCTCAGATATTCTGTGGGAGTAGCCTTCCTCAACCTGGTGACCTTCAAATGTATTGGACTACAAATCCCATCATTTTCAGCCGTAATAGCTAATGATCATAAAGCTGAGGCTGATGTGAGGTGTAGCACAATGCATCAGTGGGGTCCCAGACTGAAGTGGGTGGATCTGTGGGAACAGTTTTCCACTAAGACCCTGGGCAAGACTGCCAGGTGATAGGTTACTGCCCAGTGGTGCTGGTCCAGTTTAGTTTTTGTTAAGCTTTCTGATCCACCCAAAGGGCAATTTTTTCTGAGTAGAGGACTGCCTTCATACATTACCCACAGGGATCAGACAGATGAGAACTAACAATGAAGCAAGAGATGCCTTTTGTTAAGTACCAGCATTATACCTGGCAAACTGCTATGGTTTAGACAGACAAAATGCAGGGTTTTAGCCCTAGGCAACCATTTTGCTCTATCCAGTTTCATTCATTTTTTTCTGCTTGCCATTTGTTGCAAGTCTAGGTAAAATACATGCATTAAAAGCATATTAAAAAAATGAAATTTTGCTGCCTCTTTTTCAAGGAACATCCCATCAAGGTGGCTACTCCCATGATGCTGTGGTGTACGCCCTTCAAAAATGTGGCATTCGTCATATCGACACTGCAAAGAGATATGGCTGCGAATCATTCCTGCAGAAGGCTATCGAGAAGAGTGGGGTAAAGCGGGAAGATCTCTGGATAACTACCAAGCTCTGGCATACAGACTATGGCTACGAGAATACTAAACAGGCTTGTGTAGAGTCCTGCAAAAGGCTTGGCGTTGAATATCTAGGTATGGTGGTTTTTTAATTATCTTAGCAAATTGGGATGAATTTTCAGTTTAAAAAAAACATAACAGGGCTGATATCTTAATTATGGTAAAGACAATGGACTGTGGGAACATAGACTCTCTCCTCACAATCTCTTTCTAAAATGATTTATTCCTATCTGCCTGGACTGTAGTTAAAGTCCATGTGAGCAAACATTAGCTATGGTTAATGCTAACCTAGTTCCAACTTAATGAAGAATTTGAAGGTGATCAGGGAGGAACCTGTTTCATAACTATTGTTAACATCCTTTACCATTACAGTTTTGCCTATAAACTGGGCACTATAGACATGCAACATATAAGCAAAAAAACTAGCTAATTAACTGATTTCTTCAGTGTGGTTTAAACATTGCTTCTCTTGCAATGCTGTCAGCATTGCTCCAAGACACAAAACTGCTGGTGTGTGCCATAGCCTTGCATCCTATCCATTGTGCTAATAAATTTGGCTGCCATCTTGTCATAGCATCTGCTCAGTCTTACAATCTCACAGTGGCTCGGGCATAGAATATTCCATCCATGCTTCTTCGGTAAACTTCATGGAAGCAGAACTGACTGCTTCTAATTTTCAGTATTTAACAAAGTTATGTTTAAACATCTTAAGAGTTTCACACTTAGCAATAAAGTTGCAACAGTTATCAATATTTGCAAATAAAACATTCCTTGTCCTGGCAAACAGTTATTGCTGACTTGAAAAGGGCAAGCCTGGTGGAAATTTTTGTGATACTTCCTGTCCTATTAAGGAGATGGAAATAGATCATTATGTTGCCCTCTGGGAAGATGCACGTTCTATTCTTTCATTGGGAGGAGCTGCAGGAAAATATGGCTTATTTATAAAGCTGGGGTCATACCTTCAGCCGCTTCCTTCCAGCAAGATACAGAAGCAGAAATGGAGGACAGATGGACCCCTCAGTCACTCTCTTGCATCTGTTTTTGAACTGTCTGAACTGGCTCTGAGCTAGCATTTTAAACATCTGAACTAGTTTCCTGCTAGCCATATTACTGTGTGAGCTGAAATAGGGTGTAATATTTCTGTGAGTCAATGCACTCCTTGGGAGAAGACACTAGACTGGAATGAAATAGCCCATAAATTCTGTTTTGGCTATGCTAAACAATTTGATAGAGGCTTCTGTTAAAAGAATGAATTGAAGAAAGAATTGCTGGGCTGTTGTTATCTCTGAGCTGTAGATCCCTATTAAGGGTATTCTCATAAGCAAAGAGCAAATAATTTAAGAACTTTCTCCTGGCTAGTTGAATAAAGAACTGGTTTCTTCCAAGCTTCCTCATTTACGTAGCTCATCTGCTTGTGGTGTTTTATTTTACTTGGGGAAAGTAAGTTTGGCCCAACTGCAGTGTGTATGGATATATAGATAATACCCTTCCGATGCTGCAGTTCATCTGGGGAATGTAATGATTTCATAGAAGTTTCATCCTTGAGTCTACTGCTCCAGACATAACTGCATCTCAAAATAGTTCTTATAAATGGGCAGAAGTGTTCTTGGGGCAGCTGGCAAAGAGAATCTAATAAGCGTGTGCATTTAGATATTTTTTCCCAACATGTAATGAAATAATAACTATATATTCTATAAAGGAAATTGTGTAAGCCTGAGGCTTGCTTCTACACCCTGCTATATGAATAGTTCATATGGAGTTAAATATTTTTTTAGATTTTGCAACAAAAATATTGGTAATAAGTTCAAAATCAAGTACATTAAGAATTTGCAGAAAAATAAACTGTCAGCACTCTTCTCACTTCCCTCCAGAGTTCATAGTTACCATCTTTGTTTTGCTTATTTTCTGTGTTTTAAATGCTCTACTCCTTTGAAATCCAAGACCTAAGAACTGTTTCACTGATCTGTTAACTATAATTAGGTAGAAACCAAATTCTGCCTAATTAGAATTCTGGGCCACCCCTTCTAAAATAAATGTTCACCTCTTCAGATTATCTGCTTTACTTGTGCTCTTTGCACTCTGCCCTGCTTATTTCATTAGCTCTTGAACAGAGATCATTTTGACATACTCGCCCTGAAATAGCAGTCTGTCATACTAGGAGAGAGGCAGTGTAGTATAGTGATGAAGCGTGCAGGACTAGGTCTCAGGTGATCTGGGTTCTAGTCCCTGCTCACCCGTGGAGCTAACTGGGTGACTTAGGGCCAGTCACAAACTTTCAGCCCAAGCTGTCTCACAGAATTGTTGTTGTGGGGGTAAGATTGAGAGCCAGAAGAGGAGAATGATGTGAGGAGAAGGTTTTAACACTCCTTTCTTTTGGAGAAGAATGCTTTTTATTCTTTCCATGTAAGAATTATACTCTGGCAGTGGTGAATATATTAAATAGACATAAAGCTGCAGAAATACAAAATATCTAGTTTTGGTGGCTGCATTCTTTTTGATTTGGAGTTTGCACTGCAAATAATGTCTTTTTTCCTGAGTCTGCCTTGCAGTTTGCTGAATGTATTCACTTTTTTATTCTCTTCTGTGTATTTTTTGACTTATTTTTTGGTCCTTGTTAGCCACTTCCCTTTTATTATATCGGGGATTTCAGTGACACTGCTGTGTAAAGTTAGCCTTGCATTTTGAATGAAGATGAACTTTTTTCCTAAGCATTTATGACTCTTGGGAAATGAACTGAAATACAAAGAATTGTATACATTTTTGAGATATTTGAGGGCAGTTCTGAAGTTCCACTTCAAATTTCAATTTGATTGAACAGAAAATGTGTAAAGAATGATAGCTTTATTCTCAAGTATTATTTATTTATTTAGAGAATGTCTAGGCCACCCCATTCGCCGAAGCCTCGGGGCGGCTTACAAATAAATTAAAATACATAAATAGCAATATAAAAGACACGTAACTGTATAAAATAAGTCGCCCTGGCCAAAAAAACTTTAAAATAAAAATATCATTAACAAAATGACACTTGAATAAAAAGGTATTTAGAATATCCCAGTCTGAAAAGTATAGTACAGGTACAGAACATTGAAATAACCTTGTCTTTCCCCTGTTGGCAGAGAACATTTAAATCTTAATGCTTAGTATGCTTTTCTAACTGTTTTCATTTCTGTCACATTTAATGAATATAGGAACCATCCTGCCAAAGTTAAGCACTTGTTAAGTTCCATTGATTTCAGTGGGAGCTACTACAGTGGTGGCATACATGAGACTGTAGCCTTAAAATGTTTAACTTTGGCTAATTATTATTCTTTCCAGGGCTTTCTTGAATTTTTTATATCTATAGCCCATGGCTTATTCACCAAAGGTAGTTTATCTTTAAAACAATACAATAATAAATAAAACAATAAACAAAATGATCTAGAGAGCCTTTTGGCTAAAGCACTGGGATATAAATCTAAATAAATATGTTTAAAGCCTCACAAAACAGCATATTGAATGTAGAATGGCAATAAAAGCAGCAGCAAGGTTTGTTTTAAAATCCATTCATGACACCCTGCAGAATTTCAATTATTATTTTGGTGAGTGTTACCAGAGCCAGTTCTCATTGGCTTATAAATACTTGGGTATGCATAGTTGAACATAAAATAGAAGCATTTCCTTGTGCCGCTTACATTTACATCTGTTTTAAAGAGGAATGGAGAAGAAAATACATGCAAATACCATTTGTAGTTCACAGAGCATACATGTATTTCATATACCGTGCATGTATTGGACATGGGTCGTGTTAAGAGTTGAGGTCCAGCATCTCAGTGCCAATGTTCAAATGAGAGCCAGACCCCTCTTAAAAAAAAAAGGCCATGGTTTGTTTTTAACGCTCTCCTTGAGGTTGCAGACTCAGCCGCCGCTAATGCTGAGTAAGCATTTGCTTGCACATTATGAATTTGACTGCTGCAGTGTCAGCAGCAGCCCCGGATTCTATCCACTCCTCAACTTTCATCATTTGTACATGCGTCTGATTGCTCCTGAAAGCGTGATGGAACCTATCCGTTGTCCACCAGTGTTCATGTGAGCAAAGGGCTGTTCCTTCTCTTGTTAGCAAAGAGCATGTTACAAGTTCTGCTCATAAGAAACAAGGCTTCGGAACTTTGTGCTGACTTTATTTGTGCCAAATGGATTATGGTTCAGAATAGGACCATAGAGATTTGAATTGACATATCAACTGAGGTTCAGGAAGTGAAGTAAATAAATTAAGTCAAATCACCCTCAGATCTTCACCTATAAAAAGAGAATAATAATATTCCACTTTTCATAACTGTTCAGGTGATCTAGGTAGGACTTACAAGGGCACAGTCCAGTCAGGGTGCCCATAATCCTCAAAATCTGGGGGCAGGAGAAACAAGTAGGCAAAGTTTTATACCAGCTTATATGGAAAGTAGCCAGGAGCACTGCCAGCATTCCTCTTGGGGTGGTGCTGCCTTCCCTTCCTCTCTCTGCCTCCCCAGCACCTTCCACAGCCTTGTGACCTCAGAGCCACAACTGATGCAGACAGAACCATACTGTCATTTTGAATGCAGAGTCTGTACACACTGGAGTGTTTTCTTAACAGCATCTAGTGACCATACGTTTGCTCTGTGATCTGTACTTGTTTGTTTGTTCTTAAAGCCAATTCCAGCATTCCGTGACACTGTCAAGATTCTGTCCGTGACTAAGGGCACATTACTGTACCCGTTTAGACAGAAATGGCTGGCTGGGGAATGCTGGGAATTATAGAACTTTTTCTGTCCCAATATGCATGGGTTTGCGACAAATGGGCTTGAATGAGCATGTGCACATAGAAATAACCCTGCTTCTATGTGCATATACATGTTATGAGATCTGTTTCTCATGATGCAATGCTATGCCCTGGGAGGAAAGGGGACCAAAAGCTATACCATTCCTACCTCAGCTCTGAGGTGCCGCTTCACTTTCCCCAAATATGTTAATGATTGCTATTCACTCCTCTTCAGGAGAATAAAATAGGGCACTTGGGTGGTATTCTGGTAGGGACAACCCCCCACTCCTGTTCTGTACATTGTGGCAGTACCATTCAGAGTGACGAGGACCCTTCATGGCCACTGCAGTAGCATTACAGAAGAAGCCTGCACAAGCAGTGGCTTCTCGAGCCAAGCATAACCCATTAGTTACCTGTGGCAGCCTGCAAGAAGCTCAGTAAGACCCTTGATTTTGCTTTCTTTCTGAGGCTGTAGAAAAGAAGGGGGAGGAGCCGGCAAGCACATCACACATGGGCAGTGGGAAGTGACCTCCTTAGTAGGATTCTAGAAATACCACACAGGTTCTAACTCACTCTGGTACACCAAGGACAAGAAGGATTTTTAGGAAACTCTACAAGTGTGGCAGCTGCCATACCCTCTCTTTGCTGTGGGGAACTGAAGAGGCTCTTCGTGCAGCAACTGAACATGTGATTTTTATCACCAATATACTTTTCCCTCATGTGACTCCATTGTCCTGTGAGTTCATCTTGAATGTATGGATTGAAAGAAATACAGGTGAAACCTAAGTAACCAAGTGATGCCGGGATGCAGCTTCCATGCAGAATCATGACGGCACTTGGATGTGGGAGGAGAAAACCTCTGCATGTCAGAGCAGGCCAGAGGTCTTGCAGTTCTCCTGGCTGCTAAGCTACTCTGTTGAGGGTGTAGCCGTTTCTCAAGCATAGCACAAAGCTGCTTTTGTATGTGGCTGTCTGTAGAATGGCTGCTTCTGGGAGCATCTAGGAAAGATGGGTTACCTGGATATGAGGAAGGAGATTAATTTCATTCAAACTAGCATCATTTTCACTCTGTTTAATCAAAGGTGTTACCATCCCCACTCCCAAGCCCAATTATAGTAGATCTTTTGGTTATGTTCTGCATGCTTTAAACATATTTGAGGCTGCTGATGCATGAAAAGAAAAATTGTATTGTATTTTTTCCCTTTTAGATCTTTACTTGGTGCATTGGCCTGATGCACATGTGCCTGGTAGAAGCAATAGAGAGGTCAGGGCAGAGACCTGGCGAGCCATGGAGGAGCTGTATGAGAAAGGTAAGGGGATTTTGACTGTGGCTGAAATATCATACAGTTTTCAGAAAAGCAATATACTTTACTGTTGGAATAGCATGCCATAGAAGGTGTATTTGCTTTTTCTCTAGGATAGATCCTGAATGGGTTTTGGACCTTTCATACATAAGCAGGAGAGTGCCCTTGGAGTTTGGCTTTGCTTTGGAGTTTCTTTGCAAGAATGAGGAATTATTCTTTTCCTTTAATGTTCCTTAACATACTTGAATGGAGAGTGCTCATTCTTGAAGAGAACTAATATTTGCCCTTTTGCAGCATACCTGTATGCCTTCTGCCTTCCCACCTACCCCAAAAGGGTAGCAACTGGAATTTGGAAGCACACAGTGTAGGAGACCTTCCCATCATAATAGCTGCTGACAGGTAATGTCCCTGTTGCCTTGTCAAACAGACTTCAGCCCTGTTCCACAAGTCAGTCACCTGATACAGGTTTCAGTCAGCCTTACCAATATGTCTGCTTAGTCCAGCCAGCTTTACTAATTCCAGAAGGAATTCCAGAAGAGAAAGAAACTTGCCCATTAACAATTTAATTGCTCTCCGCATGCCTTTAAGTCACATTGATTTAAGAAATGGAGATAAATGCTTACCAGTAAAAGAGAGCTGAGCCAAAGTAGCTATCGTTTTGGCACTTAATGAGCAAATGCATGTTTCTCCATTTTGTGGGATGTGTTGCAGGTTCTCTGAGTCCTACTGATATTCAAAAGTAATCCAAATTAGGAGCAGAGAGGGTTTGTGGTAACAGTGGGGGTTTATTGATGTAGCGATTCTGCTTTCATGGTTTTGGATGTGAGCTCAATAAGGAATTGAAAATGTAATTAATTAACTGTTAATTAACTTTCAAAGCACCTCTTTGTGGGGAGTTTTAAATCAAGTTTCTTGTTTCAAATTATTGCCATAACTCTCCTCTGTTTCCCTCATCACCTGCTTCAATTTGACTGTCCATGCATATCTGGTAAACATCATGTATTAAAACTGCATGCTGGGATCTTTCTAAGCTTTATCATCACCATCCACAGCCTTCTTTTTGCTTATTATGAAGTTATTTCTTCATATATGCTGACTGCCATTTCCTCCCTCTCACCTCATATTATTCAAATTAATGACACACAAATCTTATGCCAATTAAAATACCACTGTCCTGAGCATTTTTGTTATCTGGCCCCATTGGCCCCTTCATCATCTTAGAAATAGTCACTTTTTGTCTCAAGGAAAGCAGACTTTTTGAACCTCTGACCATATGTTTCTGGAGTGATATGCAAAATGTTAATATATGTGGAGGTTTAAATTCAGTGGCCCATGAGGAAGAAATGATTAAATAATTTGCTTGCATGGTTAACCACTGAATTTTCAGTTGACGTTCAGATAATGCTTAATCATTCAGTTTGACTTATGACACTGGCCTGGGGTTTCTAGAACAGCCTTTTAATTAGAGTGGTTCCTTTTGGTTGTTCAGTGCTTTTCCTTATCTGAGAGCTTGTGTAGTGCAGTAACTATATTTGCAGTCCTTAACGTACATTCTGACATCTCAGTAAGCCCTGTTGATCATGGCAGGACTTATTTTGTGACCAAAGATGTTGGTTGTTAAGTGTATGTGATAAATAAAACTTTTTACTATATATTTTGAGTGATACGTTTTGTAAAGTGGGGCAAGTGAGGATGTAGAGATTATTCTTTCTCCAGCGTACTTTTTGCTGGCTTATTAAGAACGGCGCAATCATATGGATGGTTGACAGAAAAAATGTCCTGCAACTCCCATGCTGGGAGTTTTAGAACTTTTTTTTGTTCAACTACGCACAGAATTGTGTCACAGCAGATTTAATAAATGCAGTTTATCGCCTTCCTTCAGCCTTGCCATTTCTGTTCATAACTGAATGCCTAGTCTTCCATTTTTCTTTTGTCATAGCCCCCAGGTATATGCTTCTTATACTTATTCATGCAGCTTCCTCTTCTAAATGATGTAAATGCTGTGCTTCTTGAGGGTCAGTAGAAACAGCTCAACTCCATGCTTTGAGGCTGATATTCCTAAACTATGATTTCAGCTGTTGGATAATATGTGGTTATGCTGGCCCTGTTGAGTCCTTCATTATCAGAAGAAGAATTCTGCATCTCCTGGAAATGGCCACATTAAAAGTTCCACTCTGTTGTTTCAGCATACCCAAACTCTGCAGTTAAATTTCTAGGACTTTTGTTAAGAACTAATTTGGTGATGACTTCTAGCCTAAATAGGTTCTTTTTTTTAAGGATTAAAGAAAATTGCAGAGGTTATTGATTGTAATAAACAGCAATGAAAACTGTATTCAAAGGTGATGGTCCTAGCATATTTCTTGATCCTACGAAAGAACAGAAGTAAATGGCTATTACCATATAAAGTGCATGCCTTGTTTGCTAGCTTCCTTGAGGCATCTCTCTAGCCATAGTTTAAGGCAAAATGCTAGACTAACCTTTCTCAGCCTTGCATGCCCAACATTACTGGACTGCAATTATTGTCCCCCTTAAGCACTGATCATGTTGACTGGGGAGTTGCTGTCCAATTGGGAGTTGCTATCCAAGAACACCGGGAACCCAAGGTTGGAAAGGCTGCATTAGATTAATTGTATCTTGATATCATCCAGCAAGGAGTGTTTTCATCTTTAAGAAAATGGAAACTTCCATTTAAGCTGACCCCATACCAGTTCATGCAGCTGACATGGGTCAGTGCTAGCAGTACACTCAGTAAATAAATACTCCTTTTATTGAGCATGTTGGTTTCGGAGTTCGTGGAATTATACATTCCACTTTTCTGGAATGCTTCTAAGTTAAGCAATAGAGCTACAAACTGAGAAAGCAGGATATGGTCCTTTGGGTACCCTGTTAGCTGATTAGTCAGAACAGATGAAGCTGTGTCACTGGTATGGTGCAAATTACTATAGGTTTGTCCATCTTCAGTGTGGATTTTGAGGCTTGCACACTGATACACAGCTGCTGTGAAACCAGTGTGCCTGATAGTTCTCTCAGCATTTCATTGAAATGTGGCAAGTATCTATTTAACCTTAAGAAGAACAATAATGGGAATGTATATATCACTTTATATGCATTACAAGGAGTCCTCAGATGTATTGAACTCCTTATAATAATCTTAGTGACATTTGCCCTGGAAGCCCTGGAAACTTGCTGGCAACCCTATTCTTTCTAGGCAACTGTAGTGTTTAATGTTGGTGGGCTCCCTAGCTTACCTCACTGACCTTTGCCGCCTAACCCTATCCCTTAAAGTTGGAACTCCACCCTGGCACAAGGCAACTCTCAAACAGGAACTGTTTCCTTCTTAAAATTCCTTCTCTAGCCCTTAACTGTACTGGATGTCCACACACAATGCTTCTGTAGGACAGTAGACTATATGATGTGATGTTCAGGTTCATGAGATAAACTGACCACCTGCTGAATTTTCCTGTACTCCTTTAGGTCAGCTTCTCTTACCAGTGTTTCATGACTTGGTAGATGTGATTTCAGGTAGTGGTGGGCTTGTGGGAACTACTCTGCTTTTTCATGTGAACCCCATGGTGTGCAAAAGTAGTTCAGGGGCAACCACAGCCTTTGAATTCTAGCATACGGTGTGTTTGAGCCCATAGTTAGCCCAGGAATTGGGCTTTAAGTATCAGAATTGAGCTCTCTTCAGGGACAATGCACCACTCATTTCCCCTCAAGCAATCTTAATTTGAGCAGCCCCACTTCTTTTAATAATTTCTTTTAGTCGTTATGAATGGTTAATCAAGTGGTCATCAGAATCTCTTGCCAATCAACTGCAAATCATTCAGTGGTTACAGGATACCCCAATCTGTCTTTTGTTCATTCCTGTTATAAGGTATTTCAGTATTATCCCCACATTGTAAATCAGGGTGGGGTGTGGAAAGGGGGCTGACAGTGATGTGTCTATGGTCATTTAGGGAACAATTCTATTCATCAATGAGGGGGGAAAGGGCCTGCAACATGTTCCAACCAGCCATGCTGGTTGGGAAATGCTGGGAGTTGTAATATGTTCTTTCATCTAAAAATGTACAGGATGTGCCCTTACTGAGTTAGGAGCTGAGAGAGGATTTGGACTAAACTGTTTGGGCTTGTAGCTCACTCTCTTAACCATTCCAGTGCCCCATTTGGTGGATGCCATTAGATTATATTGCTGAGTGTTTTGAGACACACTTGGCAATAGGGTGAGGGGATAGACTATGGATAACTTTTGCACTTCTGATACTCTCCAATAGTTACGGATAAAAGAAAGAAAAATGAGAAGTCTTAAACTTTTGCTAATTGTATCACTTGTCCCCAATAAATACCATAATCTTACGTGCATTGTGTGTTCCATTTCCTGAAGCAAACCGCCATTCTGCATATGTCCAAGGACCCAGGCTGGTCCTGTCATCTTCCCATCTGGCTCATTGTAGGGCACCTTATCATAAGGGCACTCCCTTTATAGCTTTTATCCCTTTCTCCTTAGTCAAGACCTACTAAAGAATAGGGTTTTAAATGGCCATGCAACCTGTTTGAGTCAGCAGGTGCTTTACTGTTCCCCTGCAACCTGCAGATGCACCTAGGGGGATTTCCTCATTTCTTGGTCTCTTTGTCCTTTTCCCCCATCGCCTGCTCAGGATTTCCTTCTGATGCCTCTCCCATCTCCTTTTCTGCCACCACACGCTGCTTGCAGCAATTCTTGCACTGCCTGTCCCCTGCTGCTGTTTCTCCTGCCCACCCACTGACTTACCCAAATAGCAACACAGCCTCCTTGAGAATTGTCCCATTATATACCCCTGCTGAACAATTTGCAAACAAAAACAAGCAGGTGAAATAGATAAGAAGTCTCTCTGTCAAGGCTTCTATAGAGGAAAGGAACAGGCAAATCTAAAAATTAGGCTAGATGCTGCACCCATGAGGTCTGCAGTGAGATCCAGTTTCAAAAGTGCAGACTGGATTCGTCTGTAGCAGATGTTGTAGAAGGTATT